ACGAGACAGAGACGAGATAGAGACGAGACAGAGACGAGACAGAGACGAGACAGAGACGAGACACGAGACAGGGAGGAGACACGAGACAGAACGAGATACGAGATAGAGGCGAGACGAGGGACGAGAAGAGAGACGAGACGTGCGACGAGACAAGAGACGATGCGATAGACGAGACGAGACGAGACGAGAGACGAGACGAGGCGAGAGACGAGACGAGAGACGAAACTAGAGACGAGAAGAGGGACGAGACGAGAGACGAGAAGAGGGACGAGACGAGAGATGACACGAGACGAGAGACGAAACTAGAGACGAGAAGAGGGACGAGACGAGAGACGAGACGAGAGATGACACGAGACGAGAGACGAGACGTGACGAGACGAGAGACGAGACGTGTAACGAGACGAGAGATGAGACGAGAGGCAGAGTTGAGACGAGTCAGGAAACAGAGATGAGACGAGACACGAGACTGGGACACGATACGAGTCACGGTCGAGACAGAGATGAGACACGAGGCGAGACTGAAACGAGACCCGAATTTAGACACGAGACGAGTCACGGGAACGAAGACAGTGATGAGACGTGAGAGACGAGACCCGAAACTAGACACGAGACGAGACAGAGACGAGACACGTAAAGAGAGAGACAGCGACGAGGACACGTGAAGAGACGGAGACAAGCGACGAGACCAGAGACGAGACAGACGCGAGACAGAGACGTGACCAGAGACGAGACAGGGACGAGACAGAGACGAGACAGGGGCGAGACAAAGGACGAGACAGAGACGAGACGGAGACGAGACAGAGACGAGACAGAGACGAGGCCGAGACGTGACAGAGACGAGACAGAGACGAGACAGAGACCAGTCAGAGACGAGACACGAGACCTGACACGAGACAGGGTGGCGACACGAGATAGTGATGATAAACGAGATAGAAGCAAGACGAGACAGGCGAGACGATATCTTAAATACTCTCCTCAGAAATTGAAATCTATCAAAAGAATTGGTAAAAGAATGAAGACAATGTTTCCAAGAAAAATCCTCCAATACCTCCCCAGCAAAATTCCTTGAAAATTAATGAAATTTCTTAAAATTAATAGGAAAATGACCTATAAAATGACTTAGAAATAAAGGAAAAATGATTAATTAAATTTATTTTGTTTAAATACTAAAAAATTTGAATGAAAATTTGTTTAATGTATTTAAATAAAATATATTCATATCAAATTATGTTGAATATAAAGTATTTATTTCACTAGGTAGTGTAATACTTAGTTTCAATCCTCCAACCGTCAGTTTTGATAGATCGAAGTAAGTACTGAAGATTGGTGGAGTTCGTAAAAGAAGAGACCACTTCAGAAGAGAATTTCAACATGAAAAGACGATACAATAAAAACTTTGTTTTACAGTCTCATTATCCATGAAATACTCACTGACAAAAAGCACGTAAAGAGAACTAAAAAGTGACATAAAAACTAAAAAATGACAATATCTAAACATTTCTACAACCTATATGTCATAATAAACACACATTTAGCTACATCTAGAATGCACGAATGAAAAATGTCATCAGAATACCAGTCTTGCTAAATGCACAATTTCCCTAACATTTCTCTGTCTCTCTTATGTAAGTATCAGTTGGCTTTTATAAACATTTTTTGTAATATTATTTCATGCATTTTTGGTAAGTGCTGCACTGAATTTTGGCCTTCAGCGATTAAAAGTAATTGTCAAAAATAGTTTGCTTGTTTTGTAAACGAAAATATTGTCCTGAAGATAAAGATCTTAATTTGAATTTATGGCATCCCAGGTAGCTTAGACAATACAAACTCTGGACGCCTACAGAATTATTATCTTAGGTTTATATTAATTAATATTGGAAAAATATTAATCTAAATATTAATTAACCTTATATCTTAATATTAAATTAACGTTCTAAATTAAATGTAATTTCATTTTCTCTAAATGTGTATTTGTATAATTAGTGAAGCGTTGATGAAAATATTTTTCTCAGTTTGCAATTATTATTTATCATTCACAAATACAGGTTAAGAAATTATTTTTATTGTAACTGATACTGATGAATGGGAAGCATTAAAATTTAAATGATGCCTAAATGTCATTACATAAAAACTAGAAACTAAAAATTTCAGTGAAAGACATTCCAATGTTTCTCAGATTCTAAAAACAGATCAAATAATGAGATTACTAGCAATTCAGAAATTAAATAAGGCCTAGAAATCAAGCCCAAACATATTTTGACAGTGTAGGGTACTTTTTATTTCTAGCAATTAAAAATGTTTTCCAACTTTATGAAAATATTTCACTGCAATGTTTTCTAGTTCTTTTTTACCCTAAAATAACACTTCATTAATGTAGCTAACATACCTGAGAACCTGGAGCAGATGGAGGTGTAAAAATTCCAGGTTTGTTGATGTAATAAGGTGAAGGTGTATTTGTAGGAAATTGGAAGTTAACAGTTTGTGAGGCTGATATAGCTTGTCTCAATTTTGCATTTTCCTTCTCACTATAACAAAAAATTCATTTATATTCCATTCTAGTCTGATTTGGTTGAATGTGAAGTAGATGTTTGTATAAAAAATACAGAAAAATGTAAAATATTTTAATGTTGATCAATGTAATATGTAGTAATATTGTTTCACATGTAATATGTAATAAATAGATTTTTCTGAATAAATAAGTTTACTTGAAACAAAGTGTTGATTAGTTTTCATTATTCAACATCTGAGAGAAAAAAATGAATGTCATCTTATTTAATAAATATTTTAATAATCTAGTTTAATTCTTCTAAGAAACAAAACATTCAAAATTATTCACTACTAAAAGACAAGAAAGAATATGTTAAATACCATTAGTCATTCTCCTGTTTTTGTAAGTAATAACCCAAACATTATCTAATTATTTAAAGTAATACATACATTTGAGACATTCTGTGTTGTAGATGCTTGATCTCTTCATAATATTCCTTACAATGGCTCTTCATTGCATTGAATTTTTTAGTCTGCAATAGGAATATTAGAGAAAGTTATATGATTTTTGTGTATTTTCATTTGGCTTTTAAAAGAGTTCATATTTGATTACCACAGATTTATTGTGTTCAACCAGTCTTTGGCGGTGACTGTTTTGAAAGTCCAAAACTTTTCTAAATTTCTCTATGAGAGATTCTACACTGCTGAAGTAATCTTTTACATCTCCTTGCAACTGAAATGGAAAGTGGAAAGAATCATTATACTCCTTTAAAAACATTGCAAACATTACATTACATGAACACTTACATTTGATGGAATCAAAAGTCGTGTTGAGCACGATTTCTTACATATTTTACATCCATAGGTGTCATTGGGTCCTACAAAAAAAAATAAGCCTTATATATCAAGTTATGATTAACCTTTCGTGTGAACAAGTATTGACAAGTGTATACCTCGTAAAATGCATTCATCACAAAACATGTGCCCACAGCCAGTTAGCCAAAACTTCCGACCTTTTATATCTCCAGGCTGAATAAAGCAACTATTACAATGAATCCAATCCATTTTCTTCGGAAAGAAAGATAATCTCAGTAGACAACAGTTCCGTAAGTTTGAAAGACGCGGATGTCACAGAATGATAAAACAGAACAAAATGAGTCATTAAGTACTTCATTCAGTACCGCTTGAAGCGCTAATGTCGACCAAGAGCAACCGATAATGTATCTTCACTCACACGCATGCCTTCTTTTCATGGTGTTTCTATCTATTTTGGAAAATTACTTTAGCTCAGTGATTCCCAAAGTGGTCCAGGTAGACCCTCAGGGGTCCACAGGAGACTCGACGGGGGTCTTCGTTGGCGTGAAAAAAATTTGGATTCACAAGTTGTAAGTGGGGTTCCACGAAAATGTATCTGGTTTCGATAGTAAAGCACAAACATATTAGTTAACCACTCAATATAGGCAGAAAAGTACTCAAAACAATTAAGGGAGCAAAAACAAATTCAAAATATGTTGGTGTTTTTGACATGCAGTATTTCGGCGAAAAATTGTCGTATTGAGACTAAAAAGAAAGCATTTTGAAGCTTTAAGATTCCGATTTTCAGATTTTTTGGCTACTCTAAGCGGGAGTAACTTTGTGACTAACGCGAATACTGTGAAAAGCGAAAATCGTATCTCCCACTAAAATTATTTAGTCAAATTTGCCTGCCAATTCACAGCCCAATAATTTGTCATTTTTGCCAGCCTTTTTAAGCGAGATAAGATCTCTCCATATATTTAATTGGTGCTTTGATCACTTTGCAGAGACCCTTGAGTTCGAAAAATAAGTAATTGGTCTGAAATGTGACGACTTATGTTTTCTTTGTTTTAAACCTATATACAGTATTGAATCACAGTTTTGGCGAGTTTTGGCTCGGCCATCCTTTAGTAGAAGATGGCCGTGGTTTTAGGAATATGGTAGAAATGTAGCAGCAGGATCCACCGAAACCAGTGAGATTTTGAAAATGGACTACGAGAAAAAAAGGTTTCGGAGCCTCTGCTTTCGCTGATTGAATAGATTGAAGTACATTGCCAATAGATGGCTTCAAAAAATGCAACTCTGGTTCAATAGACCCATCCTTGCATCCGCGACTTCGTGTGAGTCAGATAAGCGGCAACGCCGAACCCTGGCTGTAAGAAAGTAAAAAATCCTCCAAGCTGATTACTTCAGAGCAGGTTGCATGACGTATTATACGCGCACGTTTTCTTGAGCCACGTGACATCTACCCCCCAATCCTTTGCGAACATTATTTGAATTAAGAATACATAATAGCAACGAGCGTTGTAGACTAAATCGTTTAACCATGTTCTCTTTCATGTAATAGAAACTATTTTGCATGAAAAAGGAACGAATCTGTTTGATAGAAAATTCCTTTTGTGTAAATAACGTAACTCCCCACTCCTCTCTTAGCGCGAGGGCTCAAGAAAATTTGTGCAGATAATACCACACCAAGTGGCGAGAGAACTGTCAGTCACCGCCGGTACTTGCCGTTACACGCAAATTTCACAATAATTGATCAAAAAATTTAAGGATCCGTTTTCGAGAAAATATTGAAATTTGGTATCGACTCCATTTAAAGTAGGCTGCCAGGGTCACAAGAAATTGAAATCCAAAATTTCTTTGACGGGAAACCCTAAAAAGTTGCTAATTCATGAACAAAGGATTGGTTTTACAAAATTTCTTTGCTCCAGGAGCCTGATCAGACGGCGGCTAAACATTAGCTGTAAAAACTTACAAACGAAGCTAGTAAGCGAAATCCGTCGATTACTCGATGGAATCTTTCAAAAGATCACTGACTATTCCTCCGTGAAAACAAGGGGGGGGGTTACAAACTGTCACTTGAAAAATCCAATGAATGGTTCTTTTCTATCTCTTATTATTGAGAAAACCTCGAGAGATTATAATAGTGAGACACCAGTTGCTTTGCCTTCTGGGAAGGTGATCAGATTACCGTTCACCAGCAAACCTGGGACGTTCGCAGGGCGAAGTTTTTCTCCAATTTGACGTACCTTTTGTTAAACTACTTTTGGAGTACGTACGGCAATAAAGAGAAGAAAGATTGGCTCTCCAAGACTTTGTTTTACTTTTGCGCATGACTTTTCTAACCCTGGCTCGACGATGTACGGTGTATTAGATTAAATTTTCGGTTGCAGGGAATCTATTGAACCTTGCCAATGCTCACTTCCGCTGGACCGCGGCGCTCAGTTATCGTTTCACTAGGGCGCAGGAGGACGTTACGGACGGTCTGTCGTACTCGGTATGGTGGTCTTTGGAGCGTGGAGAGCGGCTTCGATGAAATGGACAGCCATGCAATCAATGTCGTTGGGGCACTGGTCCAGTTCTTTTCCGGATTTGGGTCGCCATGTGGCAACAGTCGCATTATCTGATAGTGATAGTCCCGTTTGCGACCATGCGACATTCTAGCGCTCGCCGAGAAAGACGAGAAAGTCTGCAAGATATTCGATCGTGAAAACATGCCTGACGCGCCACTTTATAAAAAAAAACAACGAGAGAGAGAGTTAGTAAGCGGTGACATATTGACAAATTTTAAAACATTTTCTTAAAGCAAAAAGGGGTTATTTTTTTTAAATAATTTTCTGCCTATTTTGTATCAAAGGACTTTAAAAAGGGGTGTCCGAACGAACTTCTATTTCAAAAATGCAAAAGATTTAAAAATTACAGATAATTTGAAGAATATATTATTTTTGCCTTAAAAATCTGGTTAAAAAACATCAGGAATTTGTAAAACAAATTAAATTTAAACATTAACAATACCAGATGAAGGATATAGTATTGTTTGCGCTATAAAATCTGTTAAAAGATCAGAATAGGAATTTAAAAAAAAATAAATGTTGGATGATTTTTTGAAAAAAATCGAGTAGTTTTTATGTAATTTGTGCTTGATACTTATATAACAAACATTGTCACAACACCACTCCAATTTGTTTCCCCCAGCGAGGGCAAGGTATGCAAAATATAATGGCACAATCTCATTTTCATTGAACTCTGAATTTTCGATAATTGCAAATTTAGAAATTATGTAAGAAAGTATTTGCTAGTTTTCCTGTATGACTTGTTGAGATAAATAAAGATCACACACGATTTATTGAAAACACAAGTAATTTTTGTGCATCTTTGGGAAATTTTTAATTTTTGAACAATTTTTTCTCCTCCTCAGACAAATATTTATGAAGAAAATCATCTCTATCTTGAATATGCCACCAGAAAATTTTTTAAACTTAATTATAAGACTCACACTATTTTTTAACTTTGAGGTCTTGCAAAGCCGAGTGCCAAAAATATTTTTTTTCTTTGCAAAATCAATAAAAATTGTACGAATTTGTGTTCTTGACATACATCCCAAGCCATCATTAGGTAGACGTTACAACTAGTTGAAAGGTGTTTGGAACGTTGCTCTTTTAACTCTACATAGGCACCGATGCATTTATTTAATGTCAAAACCATTGTTTCACAAATGTTGGGACTTAGCTCCATTGGCTTTGCAAGGCCTCAATTCTTGTTTTTCATAATTATTTTTAAAATTTAAATTGAAAAGGATTTTAAAAAAAGAAAAAATGCACGTAAAAATCCTGATAACATTCAGGTATAACAAGTCAGTTCAGATTTTATTATACATTATTATTAACAGTCAGGTACAAGAATAAAAAATCAGTCAACTTTTTATTTACAATAATTACCTATATAAATACATAACATAAATGTGTAAATAATGTACAATCTAAAAAATATGTTCATTCATTCTTAAAATCTGTGATTTGAAAGAAATCATATTCTGAGTGTAAGTTAAGATAATCTACATTCTGGGTATGAGGGAAAACCAACAGGCGATTTTAATATAATATAAAAAGTTAAAATTCAAGGTACAATCCATTTCTTGATACCATTATGAACAATTCAGTTACCAAGAGGAATTTGGTAATTAAGAGAATATTTTTCCTTCAGGTTACATTATTTTTCTACCTTACTAAAGGAAGACTGGAGCCTCCTGAGAGTTTTTAAAGATTCCAACCAACTTTGTAATTCATTTATAATACCCCAAATATACCCAAATATAACACGAAATTTGTTAATCAGACCTTTAGAAAAAAACCTTTTCTTACACATCGTGCTTCAGCATCACTTTTGCATCATCACTTTTGACACATTGTGCAACTATTGCATTGTGAACCATTCATTCTGCCAGGCACAAAAATAATTAAATCATAATAATATTATAAGTGATCTTTCAATACTGCACATATAGCAGGCACTAGAAAATGACATCACTCCACTTTTTTCATGTAGCTTGAAGACGTGTGTAAATACATTGCATTTATTTTTACTTCAATTCAACTGAATTCATGTGATGTTTTCCAATTTTACCATGCCTACTCTTCCATCTGACATTGCCACGCTCCTTTCACCATCTAGCAGAGAAAGGAGGTATCACTTGGGTAACAAAATGGTGATTTTAATTTTGCTCAAAAGCTTATTTAGGCTTTAGGATCTTTTAGATGCTGTAAATCTACAGCATGGGAAACCCTCTAAAGAAAGGCGAACAAAGGACTTTTTTGCCTTTAAAAATAAACAGCTTTGATCAGGTTTAAACCTGCAAAAATGGGTATAACAGTCTTGTATGCTGTTATACCACCAAAGCCACCATTTTGGATGCCCTTCTCACAACCGTGAGGTCTCAATACTTCGAATTAAACACAATGTCCTTTGATGTAAATCCAATCGGGAGCTTGACACAGCTCTTGATCGTATAACACATAACAGCTAATGACCAGTCAAAGGACACTATGGATAAATTGAAGTATAACTTGTGTGGGTTTGCATGTGCAACTCAAAATGTCCTCTTCGATTGAAGCTCTTCTGGCAGATGGAGCAAGTGTGAGGTTTCTCTCCTGTGTGAGTCCGCATGTGTCTAACTAAATTTCCTCCCTGATTGAAGCTCTTGTGGCAGATGGAGCAACTATGAGGTCTCTCTCCTGTGTGAGTCAGCATATGTACATTTAAATTCCCCCTCTGAGTGAAGCTCTTTTGGCATATGGAACAATTATGAATTGAAATTTCCCCAGTATGTGTCCGCATGTGCTCCACCAAACTTCCTCTTTGTATGAAGCCTTTCCCGCAGACTGAGCACGGATAGGGTCTTTCCCCTGTGTGAACAAGGGTGTGCTTAACTAAATTTTTTTTTAGTGAGAAGCTCCTCTGACAGACAGAGCAATGGTGTTTTTTCTCCCCGGTGTGACTCAGCATGTGCGTATTTAAATTGCTTTTGTTATAGAAATTTCTCTCACAGATGGAACATTCATAAGGTCTTTCCCCAGTGTGAATCCGCATATGTCTGGCTAAACTTCCACTCTGAGTGAAGCTGGTCTGGCAGACAGAACAAACATGTCTCTTTTCCATGGTGTGGATCCTCATATGAACATCTAAAGTCACTTTCTCACTAAACCTCTTTTGACAGACAGAGCACTCATACTTTTTTTCGCCAGAGTGAATTTTCATATGCCCAGTCCAACGTTCTTTCGATATGCTTTTCTGGCAGATGGAGCAATGGTGTGTTTCTTCTCTTGAATGTTGCCCAATGGTACTTCTCATCAATGTCTGCAAATCACTGGAGGTGCCTTCCACAGTAAACTCTCGACCTGCAGACATAATTCACTGAATTAGGTAATACAGTAGAGTTGCGGTAATCTGCATTTCGCTAATCTGAGATGGAAAGAAAATTAGAAAAAAGAAAAGAAAAATAGAAAAACACATGTGCCCCCAAACAGGCAAACTGGATCTTCACGGGTTGGCAACACAACATCAAAGGTCAAATGTGCGGCAATCAGTGCCAGTGCTAAATTGCTGTGACCACTTCACACATGAGCGGTTTTATTCATTGTACAGTGCATTAGTACAGTAGACCTACTGTAATTTGAAACTTAATGTATGTTTGTATCTGTAACTTTAAGAGTATGTATTAAAGTTTGACCTTCTTTTACGTTGTAGTTCAAACTTCCCTCTTTGGTGGAGGTGTGTGCTTCATTCCGTGTAATCTGAGTTTTTTCCTAATCCGAGGTACTATCAGTCCCAATTACCAATGTTTATAATGGCTCTTCTGTATATCTAAGGACCCATTTAGAAGAGTCTAAGAGAGTTCTCTTTCAGAAATGATGGGAATCCTGGCGGAAACTTTTAGAATTTACAACTGGTTTGAAAAGAAGTGATTGTGGATTACATTTCTATTAAGATCAAATCCAAGGGTTAGATAATAATTGAGCCAAATCGTTTTTGTAGAACATATAAACTGCCATAATTTTAAAAAAATTTCGTTAGAACACAATTTCATTTCATTAATACTAAATTTAATTTTTGTATTTCGTAATTTTAGTATGGGGGAAAACTGTATATATGTATTTACTTTTTATAAATATGTAATACAAATTATATAGAAAAATATGTGAAATATTCATGATGGTCCTTATAATTACTCCATACAAGTGATCACTGGTCAGGCCTTAAAATGGATTCAGAGCAACACAACAGTCTCCACAGAAGTAATTAAACACTAGCCTTTCACCACACAAAACAAACTTTCTATGAAATGTATGTATTATATGCAACTTTGTTTAGGGGAGCCGAAGTGCAAGTAAACACAATTACGGTTAGGCATTTAGGCACCATTAAGTGGGATTTCAAGAAAAGGTTCTGAATTATCCACCTCTGAGATAGGTGCACAATAAAAGAATGCTGCCAGAAATGTTTGACAGACTGTAGAAATGTTTGGACACCTAGTTGCTGGAACAGGCAACTCTTATGTATCTCAGACAACAATCATATTGAATACAAATTTATCAATTCTGGAATATGTCACCATTATATAGCATTCAACTTCAAGAAAGTTTTGGAGAATACGGAAAAACTCCAAAGTACGGTCACACTGATTTGTCATCTCACATATTCTATTCAATTACACCAGCAATTTGAATTTTGCTCAGACCCTTCTTTAGGCTTGAGAATCTTATACCTGCAGTAAAACTACAACATGAGCAGCTGGCTCTGCTTCCTATACAAAGGACTTTTTTCTCTTAAAAATCCTCAGCTTAGATCAGGCTTGAACCTGCGAACTGTTACACCATGAGATGTGACAAAATGCACCTTTTCTCACAAAAACACTGCACCTTAGTAGGCTCAATTTGAAAGATCACATTCTCTAATCCCATCTTGGACATGAGTGTTTACTTGTGTGTTGAAGCATTACAATTTGCTTATTGGCACATTATCAAAAAATAACTACATTCAATTTATTCCATTTTTAAATTACTTTTTATTAATATTTGCAATGTGATATTCTCATTTGTTTCAATGAATAGTGAAATCTACACATTTCAATTTTTTCCAAATTTGCCAAAACTTGATCTCTTTACTACCTGACTGTACTACAAAAACGTGGTTTTGAAGAAGAAAAATCTAATCAAAAGACCTGTGCATCAACACATCCAGAGGAGTCAAAGGGTTAAAATTTCAGCCTAAGCTGGAAACAGAAATTAATCTTCAAAATCCACATTACTTTACACACACAGTTTGATTATTAAATCAAAATACTTGAACATTTTAATAATGTTAGTCAAGTTAGTTAGAGCAAATAAGACTAGTTTTAAATAGAGAAAATAAAACAGTTTATATATTATTTGTAGTTTAAAATATATTCCATTTCTAGGCATGAATTCTCAAGATACATTTCACTAACCTGATGATTCTGAAATTTCTTCTTTTTTTTCAGACGCATCAGAAAAACCTGAAGGGCCCTGTAACAGGGAAATATAAAAATTTTTAAATGCAAATAATATAATAAAATAATATAACAAAAATAATATAATTGTAGTTCTACATCTTTTTAAAAACTATTCGCTCACATTGTGTAATAGCATAATAAACCATTTTTATAGATAACTAATGAACTACTTCAGTTCATTTAGAACTCCCGATGTCAAGTTCCAGATTAGTTGCAAACTTTCATATTTTTTTTATCAGATTATTAAACATAGATATGGAAAAGGATACATTTCCAAAGACTAGTAAGGTAACTGGGTTCATTCTGTGTCACAAGCATGTCGCTCACTGAAAATCTATTATTTTGATTGACTACATTCACTTTGTAAATTTCTCTGAGGTACTTAATTCCTGGCAGTTTGGACAAGCATTTGCCCACAACTGGTTCCAAAAAATACTTAGCCAGTCATTACAACTTCTATGAACAGTGACAAACCCATGGTGAAGACTATTATTAACAATTAAGTTTGATACTTAAGGCTCCGTATTTTTTATTGACAGCCAAATAAACTTGAGGTGCGTTTTAATCACACATATTGCATATTAATTTAACTTCACTTTCTTTCATTATACACTTCAAATTTATTGTATAGCACAATGTTTCCTCTCCGTCTTCAGGTACTGCAAGATCATCATTATATGAGATTTCTGAAAGAAATCCTGTGTATAATGAAACAGTTAAATAAATGTGCAAGGTGTGATTAAATCGTGTCTTAGGTTTATTTGGCAGACAATAAAAAATAAGGTAAATTAAATATCAAACTAAATTATTTTTTCATTTCAGCATAAGATGACAAGCAACGGAAACAAATTACATTTATTTCAAAGAAATTTACACCATTACACCATTACATCCATCACGTTTACACCATTACTCTGAACCTGCCCATATGTAGTAGTTCAAGTAAACGAAAAACAAATTAATTCATTTCCGAACGGTCTCTCAAAGCCTTCTACATCTTTTTCACTCAAAGCCTTCCAGTCTCTACAAAATTCTAAATTATCTTAGAAGACTTGCATCAATTTTAAATATAGCAGAAAAATCTGCAATAGATAAGAAACTCAAACAGTCACATTTCTTCTCTCACCTCAACTTCCTCCTCATCCTCTTCTTTTGGCTCCTCTTTGCTCATAAGGAACACTGCAACAGGAGCTACTTCTTCCTGCAAATGGAAATCCACCATAATCACTTTCTTAAATATCAACTTGTATTTATGCAAAAATTGGCATCGTATACATCATTAAATCACTGAAAGATTTGATACAAGACAAGGCTGTATAAAATAACTCATTGAAGAGTGTTTCCAACCAACAAATTTTTTTTTCCCATACTGAGATTCAAACTTAGGGACATAGGTTTAGCACAGCATTCACATTATTCAGTCTTCTCTCTCTCTCTCTCCTTTTTTTTTTTACCACAATATTTAATATTGTACATGTATGAGAGGGTCTGCAAAATTTTAAACTGTTGCAATTATTAAAAATAGGGAGAGATCAAGGAAATGAGATCTGTGCTATTTTAATCAAGCGTTCTTTGTGTGTATTTGAGAAGAATATTAAAGACAAAAATTGGAGTCAATTAAAAAAAAACTTATTTACTTATTCCTCTAAATTGCCATTATTTCATGGAAATTTATGCAAAACTAAATTGTGTATGACATTATTTAAAGATCTAATTTTAAAGAACAAATTTTATTAAGAAAAAAATATTTATCTTAAATATTGTAGTTGTAGGAAAGTGATGAACAAATTTTAACTTTTGAACTGTTCAACAATTCAGGGTTTAATGAACATTGCACCAGTTTCAAAATTTGAAATATTTATGAGAAAATTTTATTTCAAAAACTGCCATTATTTCACATAAAATTACACAAAAAAAACACATATTTTGAAAAAATGTAAAATTATTGTTTTGCAAATTCTGAGAGTTAAACAAAAATTAGACCAATTTTATTTTTACTTTGCTCTACCTTAAAAAAATGAAAGAAAACATTTTGAGCCTTTTTTTAAAAAATTCTGTAAATGTCATTGAGCTTCATGAAAAGTATAACCACCAAAACAAAAACGTCTATTCCTAATTCAAAGGGCTGCGACATTAGCCAGATCAGCCACGAAACGTCAGTTTTGGTGAAAATCCTGCCTACAGTTCAGCTGCTAGCATTGTTCAAGGATCCTTTTTGAAACTGATGTAATTTTTTGGGATACTTTATATGAAAGGGCTCACGGTGGCTGGTTGGTTAACATGCTCACTTTCCACGGTGCAACTCTGGGTTCGATTGCGGCCGAGGCAAAATTATGACTGTGCGCTTTCCTTACAAATGTCCCAGTATCTATTGCTCTGCGGCAATGAGAAAGCTCCCCCTTTAAATGAATAGAGGCAGGATTTCGGATATTTTATTGGAGTAGCAAAGGATCTCCCCTCATAAGATGTTAAAAGTTCCCCTAAACCAAATGGTAGTGGTTACACTATAATTCTAACATAAACATAATAGTTTTGAAAGATTTCTTGGCCCCTGTCCCATCACCCACACCCTTCTACAGCCAGAAAGGTGTTTTTGGTGTGTTTTTTTTCCATCAACTTCACACTTATTTTATCTGATTGAAAAAAATATTAAAAATAAGAAAATAATTTCTACTACCACAAAAACATTATTATGTACACGCTATAACTGCCGGATCACAGAAGTATTAGTCAATTGATGACTTTTTTGAATCTGTTACATTGACAAATTTTTTCTTTCCAGATCCCTTAAAGAAAATGATTTAACATGGACAGCAGCCTAAAGTTTTCCCTTTGCTGTCTACGCTCCCACAAGTAATGCTGAAAAACACATGGTTTTTATTACATCGCCTACCCACAAAACGTTTCATGAGAAGCACCCATTTTTCAGCTTTTGAAATATTCAACAAATTTGTAATAGAAAGAATTTTTTAAAATCATAATATACGGACAATCCTTGCAATTCTAAACAATAAGGTACATTAAAATAAAATATGCTTTCAGACTATTACATAAGGGTATGGCAGGTATATATGATGCGAATAGTTACAATTTAGTACAGCTCCCATTTTGAACATTCTTTTGTTAATACAAACATAAATGCACATAAAATATCACCTGTAAGCTGTTCTTTAGTGTTTTTCTCTAATACGATAATTTTCAAAAGTCCTGAAAATTCTGTCCCAAAATCTACAACTATGTTTTGACACCTAATACGTTTCGCTTGGTGCATGAGAAGTGGTCTAACCATGAGTAAGAGATCCGCACACACCCTCATGCACACTCACGATTACTTACAATTAGGGATTCATTTTGTTTCTCAAACTACAGAAAAAAAGTACATCTTTTATAATATAAATTTGAAGATCCATGAAATGAAATGTCAAAATATATATTTATTTTTATTTTTCCCGACTTTGAGGGGGCAGTTTGCCTCCCTTGCCCCTCCTGAATCCCGCCTATGATTATGAAGACTAGTATTCGCAGTGGAGGTATGCCTTCCTGCTAACCACACGAACCCCTTATCCGATGGCTGAGAAGCTGGGCCACCATTGATCGGCATAGGTCCGCATCGGGCTGTCGAGCCAAAGGACAAGACAGGATTTTATACGATGTCTCAAGCACATTTTTAAATTTTTCTCAAAAATTGCTTCAAGTTGTTTTTATTAAAATTTTATTAATTTTTTAAACAATTTTATTAAAATCATTTATTATGGGATGCTTAATGAAGTGGTACACGTCTCAAGTTTATTGAAATATTTAAATTTTCAAAAATTGCAACAGTTCAACATTTTTTCGGCATTTTCCTCCAAATATAATATTGAAATTTGAGATTTTTCCTCTGAATGAAATCTGTTCTTCAAAATTAGACCCTTAATTGAATTCAAATAAGTTTTTTCAAAATGTGAATAGTTTGAGTAGTTTTGTGTGAAATAAAGACTATGTCAAAAACAAGATATTCTCAAAAAGGCTCTAAATTTTTTTAAAGAAAACTTTTTGAAAGGATAGTGTTACTCGCTCTGAATAACACAACATAAACACATTTTTATAATTCATTTTTTAGATATTTAAAAAATTACACAAATATTTTTTTTTAAATCTTTCTCAAATTGTTAATATTTACATATATAATACATATTTTTGTTAAGTTGTTATGAAGTTTTTCTCAGAAACTGACAAGTTTTCAGTGAAAATGGGCACCTTTTCAGAAACGCTGAAACATTTTCTTAAAAGTTGGCTCCAAGTTTCTCTTTAACCTTTTTGTAAGGATAGTGCTAAATACACTGAATTACATAACATATACACACCATTTTGATGTATTCTTTTGATTTTTCAAAAACTACACACAGGCAATTTTTAAAAATATCTCTCACATTGTTAATATTACAGACCTTTTCTATACATTACGGCATTTGTCAATAGAAATACTTGAAAAGATTTTTGGTGAAGTTTTTCAAAAACTCACAACTTTTCTGTCAAAATGAGCTCAAAATTGTACACTTTCAAAATTACTCAAACATCTTCTAAAGAATGGCTTCAAAACGTTCAATGAAAATTTTCCTAAATATCTATGTTTTACTCCTCTGTAATGTTCTTAAAGCTATACATCAATTCTACTATTAGGGGACCAAAAAATTGAGAAAATGTGAAAAAATGTTGCTTTGGTGTCGGTAGGTAGCAGCTGGGAAGAGGGTGAGAGGGAATATCAAAACGCTATAATTGACTTCAGAGACTAGAAAACTAAGTAGTGTGAGAAAGTCAGTGCCACTCTGTAGTATCAGTTTTTAATATTTGATTCACCAGCTCACCTCATCTTCCTCTTCTTCTTCTTGCTCCAGTTCCACTTTCACTGGAAGATACACAGCAACAGGTCTCTTCACCTCCTCCTGTAAATTTTTAATTAAACAAAATTTATCATTGTTACAAGGATATTCCTGAAATTCATTCATGCATTTGAATGCAATTTGGTATACCAGCAATGAAAAAAAACATTTTCACTGCAAGAAAACATACATAAAATGGCATTTAACGGTTCAGATAATGACATTGGCCATTCATTGCATGAAATGTTACATCATCACACATTCAGCCAACCACAACTAGCAAATCATGGGGAGGTGGCGGTAAACCACACAGCCATCCACTGTTGTTGTTTTTTTTGTACAATTATCAAATCCATATGAAGTCATAATGCAATTTTTTCCAAAAATTAACTTTGATTCTCTTGTAGTGCTGTTACACAAAAATTTAATACATGGAACTAGTTGATAATGTAAGCTGTTTTATTGCATTAATTCAATTAACACAATACTCCTAACAACATTAGTTTTCAAAACATGTACTTCTGCAATAAAGCTTAATATTAAACTAATGATTTTGGATCTCTGCTCAGGTGTTGCAGCATTGAAGGCTGTGATTCAACACTTTGACCATCTTTTTTTGGTCTTCCTCATGGCAGGTCTGGGAAGGCTCCGGGATTTCAAGATAATTTGCATGACTCTTGCCGCAGAAGCCTATGACTTCACTTAATGTTAAACTAGTTACATAATAAACTATTTACACAGTACATTTCTATATAGTTTTGAATTAAACAACTTTTTTTCTTATCTTTCAAATACAGTCACTTTAGTTGAAAATTAAATGTAAACTCAAAGTGTATGCAATACAAATGTTTTGTAAAAATTAACCAGAAAATGGAGAGTAAGGAGAGCCACAATGTAAAATTGATATACAAGATGTTTCTTAAAAGTAAGACAAAATATTGTTAGAACATAAAATAATAAAAATGCTAATCATCTAAATTCCTTAAATTGGAAGAAATCTATCTTTGGAAAGTGTGAGAAACCTATGTTTGGTTACAGCATGCACTACCAATAATCTAGAGAAATTGACCATCATATTTTTGCTCCGATCAGAAACACACCTAGATCATTCACCCAAGACAAGCTAATCATCATTACCTTTAAACAAAATTGGAAATTATGAATCTCCATTCATGGACCCTGCTATCCATTCAGATCATCCATATATAAACAAAGCTAAATTTTACACAATCTTAGGTAATAAAATAATTTGGAATGTAACAATATGCCCTCCCTTTCAAGAACAGACAATTGGAAAAGACATTTGCCCAAACTGAAAGGGATAAAGAGGAAAGGAAGGTGAATGTAATTTTAAATTGTAAATTAAATTATGTGGCAAATTGAGAAAATAGCCATTACTAAGTACTTAACTACCACTATTAATTAACTTTGTTTAGACATATTGTATCACACAAAACTTGACTAAAATGTGCCAAAAATTAAGATCACAAAAGAAATACAAAAAAAAATTTTTTTATACATTAGCAGTATAAAATTTGTAATATTCTTACCTCCTCATTTTCCCCTGTTCCTTCTTGTTGCTCCTCCACCTCCTCCAGATTTGTAAATGGCTCCTTTTTTTCCTCTTGTAGTCCATTCTCATCAATGTCTTGTCCTTCTTGTGGCTCCTCCTTTATCTGCACAGGATGCCACTGATCTTCCACAGAAGTTTCCATCTGAACAAAAGATCAAAATTCCCAAGAATAAAAGTTCAGATATGAAAAGGAAATTGAGAAAATTTGCAAATATCATAAAGGCTACAAGTTACATACCCAAAAATTAAAAGAACAATTTTTAATGTAAGGGATCACATCAGTCATATCAATTAGGAAATATTAATTTTGGTGAAAATTCTGGGTATAGTTTCAAAGCTAGTGTTGTTCAGAGATGGACGGGCAAAATACACTCTTTTTTGGCATCACTACTCCCTCAAAATGTGAATTTCCATCAAAATATTGACTCCAATTTTTGCTTTATTACTCTAGTCTATACATAAGAGAAAGTAAAAATATTGTTGTACTTAGCATCTTATTTATTAATAATATGTAAATACTTTAAATTTTGTGTGTATGGAAAATGATTAGATTTATTTAATCCAGAGGGGGGGGGGAAGAAAAAGAAAAGAAAAAAAAAGCAGTAAAAAAGGTATATGACATTGGGAGAAGATAATCTGCGCACATTTTCTAGAGTTCAAGAATCCCTTCCCATCATTTTAACTATAAATAGTTGAAAGATGAGTAAAAGTTAAAGATAAATAAATCTCACATACCCGAAGAAGACGTTTTAAAAAACTCGCGCAACGGATACAAATGAACAACAAATCTGGACATTTTGTTTTCAGAGTTATAGGACAACTTCTATTGTTATGGTAAAGAACGCAAGTATGTATTTCTTTCTCCATGTGCTAAACAGAGTCAGATGAATAGTAGACTTCACCCTTATTCTCTTCCTTAGCTCCTACCAACATCTACAAGTGTTACAAAGGGAGAGGTTTCAACTAAACTTGCCGCATAGTGAAGCTACATTTACATCCAAAGCGACATCACACCAAAGGCTCAATCTGCTGCCAGCTATGCGCATCGTGAGTTGCAACTGCGAACAAAAACGGCCTCACGTCTAATTGGCAGCGAGGCATGGCGAGGCAGTCAGTTGGATGCGCTGAGCAGTACCTATTATCTACGTGTACTACAAGATTATTAAGCTCGTAGACAAATCAGATTGTTATCAAGCAACTACAAATGCGTCTACACACCCGCTTTCAACGTATCAGGCTCACTTCGACACCGGTTGATTAGTTTTGCTTTACAAAAGCGCAAGCATTTATAAATCGTGATGCCTGAGATTGCGATTCTCGTCTGATGTACGATGGTTCGAACTTTATGGTGAGTTGCTTTATGTACGCGAAGATTCCTTGATCTAAAGATAAAGTTTGTCGTTTCAAGCCAGTCATCCTACGCAGTCGGCTTCTAAGCACTTAGCAACAATAGCCGAAGCGTAAGTCAGACAAATTGTGATTCATCTCCATGTTCTGTATCTACGCTTGGCGCTCTAGGCGCAGTAGAGCGTGTGACGCTTTGTACATTAAGCGGCTCGCGGATCCCATCGCTCACACGTTGTGCCGGCTTGATCGGCGCTCTAGTCTTTGTTACAAGGCTTCGCTACAAATTTTGAACGTGTAACTTGACGCAAACGGCGTTTTCACCACTCCGCTCTGCTGGGAATTCTAGCACGGTGCGGGCTTAGCTACGCTTTTCGTCGTGTCTTCGCAAAGTGGCAACGCTAAAAGTAAACACATCGACGTTCTTGACAGTCCTCATGCTTTGGAATTGTTTAATCCTATATCCGTGACCATCACCATTGTTCAGTCCTATAGTTTGCTAATACTGGCATCTCGAATTTGGTGTTTT